TCAGGTCCCCTCGTTCTCCCGGAACTTGGTGGGCGTGCGACCCCTCGTGAGTCAGCACGTGGGTGTGTGGTTTGAGCCTTCTGGAGAGACTGCGGTGTGTGTTGACGGAGACTCTTACCAGCCTCTTGCTACCTTTACTGCTGAGCCGGGCTCGGGTCTCTACACTCTTCACACTGGCCCGCGTGCGCCGCAGCAGCAGCCGCAGCAGCAGCCGCAGCCGCAGCAGCAGCCGCAGCCGCAGCAGCAGCAGCAGCAGCAGCAGCAGCAGCAGCACCAGCGGCCGCACCAGCAGCCCCCCCTACTGCCACTGCCCCCGGTTCCCCCCCCCGTTCGGGTCCCCGCGTCTCACCAGGTTGCTACGTCCCCCCAGGTGTCTGTGTCGTGTCAGGTTCCTACGTCTGTTCCAGTCGCTGCGTCGTGCTCCTGCCGGTCGCTTGCCCACCCCACCGTTCTGTGGCACCACCGGATGGGGCACCCGTCCCTTCCACGTCTGCGCGCTATGTCTAGTCAGCGTCTTGTCCTAGGCCTCCCACGTGTCTTGCCGTCGCTGCCGCCTTCGCCTGCGCCGCCGTGTCGTCCCTGCGTCGAGGGTAGGCTGCGCGCCACCCCTCACTCCTCCTCCCTTCGTCCGGCCACCGAGCCTTTTGAGACGCTTCACTTGGACGTCTGGGGCCCAGCCCCTCGTCTAGGCCCTGAGCGTGAGCGTTACTTTCTGGTGGTCGTTGACGACTTCTCCCGCTACACCACAGTGTTCCCTCTGGCGAAGAAGTCTGAGGTGACTTCTACGCTGATCAGGTGGTTGCTCACCACTGAGGACACTCGTGGTCGTCGTGTCAGCTGTCTCCACTCCGACCGTGGGGGTGAGTTTCGCTCCGGCATTCTCGCTGGATTCTGTCGCGAGCAGGGCATTCGTCAGTCCTGGACGCTTCCAGAGTCCCCACAGCAGAATGGGGTTGCTGAGCGCCGCATAGGCTTGGTCATGGAGATCGCCCGCACCTCCCTGACTCACGCCCGTGCCCCCCATTTTCTGTGGCCCTACGCGGTCAGGTACGCCGCGCACCAGCTGAACCTCTGGCCACGTGTCTCTCGACCAGAGGTTTCACCGACCAGTCTTTGGACAGGGTCCCCTGGTGTTGCGTCGCGGTTTCGTGTCTGGGGGTGCTTGGCTCTTGTCCGCGACACCTCCGCGGACAAGCTCTCGCCTCGTGCCGTCCCCTGTGTCTTCCTTGGTTTCCCTGAGGACTCCTCTGACTTCACCTTTTACCACCCTCCCTCTCACCGGTTCTTTGACTCCCATGACGTCCGTTTCGAGGAGTCCACTCCGTACTACGTCAGGTACCCCAGTCGAGGTCTCCCGGTTCCTCCTCCCCCCCTCTTCCTGACTGCCGTTCCCCCTCCTGCTCCCCCGGTACAGCCTCCCCCCCCTGGTCCAGCCCCGTCAGGTGTGTCCCAGGCTACCCCTCCTCCTTTGGTAGCCCCTCCGGTACAGCCTCCCTCCCCACTGTCCTCCTCGCAGCGTGCCGCTGGTGCTAGCTCTCGAGAGGTTGGTGCGGCGCCTGTTCCTGTACCGGTTTCTGGTTCTGGGGGTGCTGGAGTTGGAGCTGGAGTTGGAGCTGGAGTTGGCACTGGAGTTTCTGGTTCTGGGGGTGCTGGAGTTGGAGCTGGGGTTGGAGCTGGAGTTTCTGGTTCTGGAGTTGGAGCTGACCCGGTGGGTGCAGAGGACTCTTGTCGTCCGGGAGCTGGTGCTGGCCGCGCGGACACTGGGGGTGCTGCGTCTGGGGGTGAGGGTGCGCCTCCTTCGGGTTCAGGTGAGCCTGGTTCTGGAGCTGGTGTTAGTGCTGCCTCTGGGGGTGGTGCGCCTAGTTCTTCTGAGGTGGACTCTGGAGCTGCTGCTGCTTCGGACACTACTCCACCCCCCCACCCCTACCCGACTAGGCACCAGGCTCGTGTTCGCCGTGCCCGTGACAAGCAGCTGGCGTTGGAGAGAGAGGAGAGGGAGTTACAGCGGCTGGAGGAGCAGCAGCAGCAGCTGGAGCCGCAGGAGCAGCAGCAGCAGCAGCAGCAGCTGGACCCGCAGGAGCAGCAGTCCCAGCAGCAGCCGCGTCCGCAGCAGCAGCAGTCGCAGCCGCAGCAGCAGCAGCCACTTCCTCCTCCTGTCTCGGGTCTTCGGATCCTTGGTCTCCCCTCCCCTTCTCCTCCCTCCTCCGCCTCTCCTCCTGTCTACGGTCCCACGTTTCCTCCTCCTGACTCCTCCCCCGCTGTTTTCCCCAGTTCTCTGCCCTTGTCCTCTTCTCCTCCGTCTCGTTCTTGGGCTACTCGTCGCTCCCCTCGTGCTCGTCCCTCGTCTCCTGTTCCCTTCACTGACCTTCGTACTGCCTTCCTTCTTTCTAGTCCACCTCGTCCGTCTCAGTCTGTGCTTCCGTCTCCTTCTGAGTCGGCCCTCACTGTGTCGCTCCCTACTCCTGTCACTGACTACTACCGCACGTACCGTCCTGTTCTCTCTCGTGTTCTCGCCTCTCTTGTTACTCACCCTCGTGCCTCTGTGTCCTCTGTGTCCGCTCTTACTGCCGCAGTTACTGACTTTGCCTCTACCCGCCGCCTTGACTACGCCACCACGCTTGTGGCTGCTCCTCCTACCAGTCCTCTGGCCGTCGGGGGTGTGTCTGCCCTTGGCTGTGACGCCCTAGAGGACAGGCAGTTTGAGCTAGAGTTCCTGGCGGCCGCTTCCCCTCATCTCTGTGCCATGCTCCTCGCCCCTGAGGGTGACCCCGACGCCCTTGACATTCCGACTCCTCGCACTTACGCTGAGGCAGTGTCAGGGCCTTGGGCCTCTCAGTGGAGAGCTGCCATGGACGCAGAGATGGCCTCCTACAGATCCACAGGCACCTACGTCGATGAGGTTCCCCCCCCTGGGGCGAACGTAGTCGACGGCATGTGGATCTACAGGGTGAAGCGGCCACCGGGATCTCCCCCAGTCTTCAAGGCGCGCTACGTGGCTAGAGGTTTCAGTCAGCGCAAGGGAGTTGACTTCTTTCAGACCTTCGCACCTACCCCGAAGATGACCACTCTTCGGGTGTTACTACACGTAGCAGCACAGAGAGACTACGAGTTACACTCTCTCGACTTCTCCACTGCTTTCCTTCAGGGCAGCCTACACGAGGAGGTCTGGTTGCGTCGTCCATCGGCCTTCACTGGCACCTTCCCTCCTGGGACCCAGTGGAGGCTGAGGCGACCTGTTTACGGTCTTCGCCAGGCCCCTCGTGAGTGGCACGACACTCTGCGTTCTACCCTCTCTGACCTTGGGTTCCAGCCGTCTTCTGCCGACCCGTCGCTGTTCGTTCGTCGTGGCTCCACACCGTTCTTTGTTCTGGTTTACGTCGACGACCTCGTTTTCGCCACTCCGGACAGGGTTGCTTTGGCAGACGTGAAGTCCGAACTGCAGAAGAGACACACGTGCACTGATCTTGGTGAGCTGCGCCACTACCTTGGCCTGCAGATCACCAGGGACAGAGCCGCTCGCACCATTACACTCTTACAGTCACACATGGTGCAGCAGGTCCTTCAGCGGTTCGGGCTTCAGCACTCCACCGTACAGCGCACACCTCTAGCTGTTGACCACAGACTCACTGGTCCCTTTCCTGACGAGCCGTTTGAGCCTAGTGGTCCCTACGCAGAGCTTGTGGGTTGCCTCATGTACCTGATGACTTGTACTCGCCCGGACCTCGCCTTCCCTCTCAGCATCCTTGTGCGCTTTGTTGCGCCAGGGAGACACCGTCCTGTTCACTGGACGGCAGCTGTGAGGGTGGCGAAGTACCTAGCGACTACATCAGGCGTGGGGCTAGTTCTTAGAGGGCAGCAGTCTGTCGTACTCACTGGTCACTGTGACTCCTCTTACGCTGACGACGCTGAGACTCACAGGTCTACTCAGGGGTACTGTTTCAGTCTGGGTTCTGGAGCTGTTTCCTGGCGTTCCACGCGCTCCTCTTCTGTCTCGACCTCTACAGCTGAGGCTGAGATTTACGCTGGTGCCATGGCGGCACAGGAGTTGCGGTGGTTGACCTTCTTGCTCGCCGACCTTGGTGAGCGGCCGAGCTCTGCACCGACCTTGTTTACTGACAACAAGGCGTCGATCCTCCTCTGTCGTGAGCCGCGACTGGAGAGCAGAGTGAAGCACATTCACGTCAGGTACTTTCTTCTGCGAGAGTTGCAGAGGCGTGGACAGGCTCGCTTCGAGTTTGTAGAGTCCGAGGCCAACACTGCAGACATCTTCACCAAGGCGCTTCCGCCTTGTGACCACCAGAGGTGTTGTGTGCAGTTAGGCCTTGTTGACACAGGTTCTAGTCATGCGTAGACTTGAGTTTATTGCCTGCTTCGTCTGTACACTTACTATATATACTTGTGATCTCTTGGACTGGCCTTGTGGCCACTGTTGCTTGTGCTCAGAGTGTGTGGTGACGTTGTGATCCACCCTGAGCTTTGTTTTCTTTTGGACTGGTCTTGTGACCGTACTCTTTTTTTGTTTTTGCTAGACACCCCTCACTTAGGCTATGGGGGTGTGTCAAATGTTGTAGCCTGTAGTGAGGTTTGTCTTAGGGGGTACAGAAGTTAGGGTTTGTTATATGTACCCCAACCAACATCAATGGAACACCCATTCCTCATTTTGACAGGAATCTGACTCGATAACAGCTATAATATGAATCTATAAGAAAAGGGGGGTGTTATAGAAAATCACCCCAAAAGGGGGGGTATAGTACAAACAAGGTCGGATATAACACCCACCCCGTATTAGCTACCCAGGGGTGTACAATTACAGGGGGGTGTTTTATCCGGGAGAATACGGGTACCATTCATTACACACAACACAAGGAAAACAAAAAATTGCTCTCACTGCAACAGACTACGGTATCAATCGCAATACCTGTCAAGAACTTGACAGGTTCACACCCACAGAACAGCTGAATCTCAACCTCCCTACGCCCCCCCTCGCCCATCACTCTGCTTCACAAGCCCTGGGAGGAGGCCAGCAGGCCCCCAGAGGGGCTGTGTGGGTCCTGGTGCATGTGCTGCTGTAGGTCCCTGATCTGCCGCTGCATGCTCTCCCTCTCCCGGTACAGCATCACCACCAGTGCCAGCGCCACTGCCACCGCCATGCCCAGTGCTGTTGCCAGTAGAGGCGCTGCCCTCGCCCCCCGCTCCTCTGCGTGGTCATGGGATGGGAGGTGGTGGTTGTGGGGGCAGTGCGGATGGTGGTGGATAGGGAGTGTGCCAGGAGAGGTGATGGAGGGGTGAGGGAGCGATGAGGGAAGGCGGGGTGAGGGCGCGATGAGGGAAGGCGGGGTGAGGGAGCGATGAGGGAAGGCGGGGTGAGGGCGCGATGAGGGAAGGCGGGGTGAGGGCGCGATGAGGGAAGGCGGGGTGAGGGCGCGATGAGGGAAGGCGGGGTGAGAGAGAGGTGAGGAAGGAATGAGAGAAGGGTGGGTTCAGAAGGGGTGAGGAGAATGTTTAGGAAATACCGTTAACAAGGTAGCGAACATGGAACAGGGGAGAGAGATGAGAGCAGATAGCAAGAGAGAAGAGCAGGGCGGGGGGGGGGGGGGGGAGAGAGGAGAGAGGGAGAGAGAGCGGTGATGAAGAGAGAGGAGGGGTGGACGGGTGGGCCAAGGGAGGGAGGGAGGGGAAGCAAGAGGAAAGGTGAGAGAGACCGAGCAAGCAAGCGGAGAGGGAGGAGGTGGGCAGAGAGGGAGCAAGTGAACGGAGAAGAGAGGAGAGGGATGGGATGACGGACCCGCATCTTGCAGCGATATGCAGGGGGAGTAGGTGTCAGGGCCCTGGGAGAGCGGCTGTGGGAAGGAGGCGTTGAGCAGCGCTGCCAGGCGGTATGCTGCTAGCGCCAACTGCGACTTGGCCACCTCCTGATGCGCGCAGGGGGCAGGCGGGATGCGAGGCGGATGTGCGAAAGGGGCGAGACATGGGGTGTGAGAGGGGGATGAGACAGGGATGAGGCGAGGTTGTGGGAGGAGGGATATGTTGTGTGGAAGGATGGTGAGGTGGGGTAGATTGGGTGGGAAGAAGCAAGGGCAGGGCGGGTGATGGAGTTGAGAAGGGATGGGATCAGGGCAGGATGGGATGGGCAGAGCCATACAGACATGGTGAGAGCCTTGCAGATCGCATAGGAGCGTGAGAGGGAGAGGAATAGAAGAAGGGGGAGCGTGAGAGAGGAAAAGGGAGAGCAAGGGAGAAGGAGAACAAGGGAGAAGGAGAGCAAGGGAGAAGGAGAGCAAGGGAGAAGGAGAGCAAGGGAGAAGGAGAGCAAGGGAGAAGGAGAGCAAGGGAGAAGGAGAGCAAGGGAGAAGGAGAGCAAGGGAGAAGGAGAGCAAGGGAGAAGGAGAGCAAGGGAGAAGGAGAGCAAGGGAGAAGGAGAGCAAGGGAGAAGGAGAGCAAGGGAGAAGAAGAGCGGGAGAGGGAGACACGCCTGAACATGGATGTTGTAGTCGTGAGTGAGCAGCACGGGGCTAGCCGTCCCAGGCACCGATGCTGATGCTGCTGCTGCTGCAGCAGCGGTCTGCAGGGGACCAGAGTACACTACAGATGCCGTGATGCTGCCGCTGCCTGCCGCCCACGCTGCCAGATCCACCTCCTGCACCTGATGATGCCATGGGGGGAAGGTGACTGTGACATATGAGGCATGGGTGAGGCTGCGCGTGCGGAAGGTGGCGCGTGGGCTGTGGGGAATAATGAATGATGAAGTACAGATAGATCACAGGAGCATGCATCGATGCACCCATGCACCCATGCACCCATGCGGGTGCAGTCATAGTTATGCAGGCATGTAGCCATGCAGGCAGCACACATAGAGCACACAGCGCACTGACCTCGCGTGGAGTGAAGTCGGAGAGCGGGAACTGAGCAGCGAGGGCGAGGGCAGCAGCGCGCACGTCCCTCTCATCCACGTGAAATGCTGCTGCTGGTCGTGCACGGTCGCCCCTCACCGCCCCCGCCACCTCCTCAAACGCCCCCCCTGCTGCCTCCCTGCCGTTCACACGGGGGGTTAGTTCGCCGGGCGGGGAGAGCATGGAGTGGAGGTGGGGGGTGGGGGGATGAGGAGCGGGGGGACGAGAGAAAGAGCATGCGAGATAGACGGATGGCAGGGTGTGTGTGTGTGTGTAAAGACTATCTTTGCTGGTAGATTATGCAGAAACCACACACCAGCACATAGCAGCACAGAACAGCACAGAGCAGCAGCACGAGGAGCAAGAAAAACAGCACCGGGGAAGGCATGGAAGGGAGGAGGAGGCAGGGGGGGGGCGAGAAGGCGGACCAGAAGTGAAAGAGTGTGTCCGCCTCATCCACCACGTACTGCTCCACCGCCACCTGCCGCGCCCACCCCCCGCCCCCCACGGGCCCCACCCCCTCTCCGCCCTCCACGCCCCCGCCTGCTGCCTCGCCCCCCCCCACGTGCTGCCTGTCGGCACAGTGCAGTGGCTGTAGGTGGGGCGCATGGGGCGGTGAGAAGGTGGGGAGGTTGAGAGGGAGGGATGTGCGTAGTGGAGAGGAGCAGAGGAGTGTTCATGAGAGATGGGATGAGAGGGCCAGAGAGGGTGGGGGGGGGAATGGAGATGGGGGGCTGGAGCAGAGGAAAAGCAATGCCAGGTTGTTCTGATACAGTGCCACGTCACCTAGTGCATTGCCTCATCACCTGGTGCATTGCCACGTCACCTGGTGCATTGCCACGTCACCTGGTGGAGGTCAGCAAGCAGGTTGAGAAGCACTCGGAGAACAACGGCACGGCCAAAGCTGCACGCATGCGAGGAGGAGGCAGGCACAGTGAACAGGGCAAGGAGGGGAGGGGTGAGGGCGGAAGGAGAGAAGAGCAGCATGGGCAGGGCGCAGGCTCGTTGGTATGCAAAACGATGGAGGGGAAGTTGGGAAGGAAGTTGGGGAGGAAGTTGGGAGGAAGTTGGGAGGAAGTTGGGAGGAAGTTGGGGGAAGTTTGGAAGGTGGGAACATAACAGCAAGCAGCTTCTTTCTGCTCCTTTCTCCCCGTCCCCACTCCCAACCCAGCGCACCCCACCCCGTTACACATACCATCTCCCACACTCGCCTGCCATTCCCACTTGCTTCGCTCTCCCTTTCCAGCTACTCCTGCCCCTTCTCCCCCCTGCTGTCCCCCCCCTCCCCCCACGCACACATCGATGTGGGTGCCTTGCAGTGCAGTCAGCGCGCTGCTGAGCACAGCCCCCAGCGACGCCGGCGCTGCACGGAGGGGGGGGGGGGAGTGTGGGGGTGTGGGAGGGGGTTGTGGGGGAGAGACGTGTGGGGAGAAGGGTATGTGGGGGAGGGACGTGTGGGGGAGGGACAGACGAAGGGAACAGCATTGATGAGGAGAGGAGAGGAGAGGAGCGGCAGCAGAGAATCTAGGGAGTAGCATTCGGCACAGGCCAAAGAGAGCAGAAAGGGAAGCACGGGTCAGGCGGAGGACGATGGAGACAAAAGAGAGAGCGGGGGACAGAGGGGTGGAGGTGGATGAGGAGGGATGGGGGAGTAGGAGTGGCACACCTTGTGGGACGGTGCCGGGGAGGCGAGGGAGGTCTGGGGTGTGGGGTGTAAGGTGTGGGGTGTGGGGTGTGGAGTGTGGGGTGTGGAGTGTGGGGTGTGGAGTGTGGGGTGTGGGGTGTAAGGTGTGGGGTGTGGGGTGTGGGGTGTGGGGTGTGGAGTGTGGGGTGTGGGGTGCGAGGGATACCTGGTACCGGTGGTGCTGGTGAAGGTGGTGGAGACACGCCAGGCGAGGGGGCAGGCAGGGCGGAAAGGGAGTAGTGCCTGCACCGTGTGGCATGGCATGGCATGGCATGGCATGGCATGGGTTGGAATGACATGGCATGGTATGGCATGGTATGGCATGGAATTTCATGGCATGATATGGTATGGTATGTTATGGCGTGTGATGAAATGAAGGGCGAGGAGAGTGCAAGCAGAGCAGGAAGAGTTGGAAGCAGTGAAGGGAGGGCCGGGAGTGGCGTGGTGGAGGGGTCTGCAGTAGTGTGAAGAATGGAATACGAGGGAATCGAACGGTGCAAGAATGCAAGGTGCGGCGCGAATGGTATGGAGCAAGGGGTACTGGGTAGTTACCAGGGTTGAAAGGCAGGCATGACCGTGGTGTTGATCACATCCAACCATCTGCTTACACGCATGCCACGCACACCACACATGGCATGGCATGGCAGGGCAGGGCATGGCATGGCATGGCAGGGCAGGGCATGGCATGGCATGGCATGGCATGAGCACGGGCCAGACAGCAAGGATGGAACAAACGAAGTGGCACAGCCTATGTAAGCGGCAGCACTGTGCAGAGCAGGCAGAGATTTCGTTCACACGAAACAGGATATCAAGGCAAGGGAGGAGTGGGTTCGTGGGGAGACATGCGGGGAGAGATAAAGAACACCATGGGATGAGAGGCTGGGCAAAGAAGAAGCAACTGCATCACCATGTTCGTACAAAGAGGCGAAGAGGGGCGAGATGCAGTGAGAGGAAGGACGTGCTCTCCCATGCACCCTTGCTCTCACATGGCGGATGGCCGATTGAGTGCCATCCCCTCAGAAGAAGTTAAGCTTTGGTTGCTTGAATGTCAGACGCCTGCCCTCACATGCACCCTTGCACTCACATGCACCCTTGCACTCACATGCACCCTTGCACTCACATGCACCCTTGCACTCACATGCACCCTTGCACTCACATGCACCCTTGCACTCACATGGAAGATGCGTGGAAGGACGAGAGGGAAGGGTAGAAGGGGTTGAGGGGAGTGAGGGCCTGCATGGAGGAGGGCGGTGGGAAAAGGGGGGTGCAGGAAGAAGAGGAGACAGGACGGAGTGGGATGGTGGTACAAGAAGGGAGCATCCTCCTCCTACCCCATGGGGGCAGCATGGGGGCGTGGATGCAGCATGGGGGCGTGGATGCAGCATGTGGGCGTGGATGCAGCATGTGGGCGTGGATGCAGCATGTGGGCGTGGATGCAGCATGTGGGCGGGGATACAATGTTGTGGTATGTGATCGTCATGCATTAGGTAGTGTGAACGGCACGCAGCACACACACTGGGCAAACGCCTACGTGCCTGCATGGCTGCCTGCTGCGCTGTGGGGCTCATGTGCAGCCATGCCAAGTCCGCCACCACCTGCATGCACCGCACCGCACCGCACCGCACACCCAGCAAGCCGCCCCAACAGGCAAAGGTCGCGGGGGAGAGGGAGGAGAGAGGGGGGGAGGGTGAGGAGGGGTGTCAGATAGAGGGTAGAGACAGAGGGTAAAGTTGTGCAAAGGGCGAGGGGATGCAGGGACGATGGGAAGAGAGTGGGGGTCAAGTGAGGAGAGAGAGGAAATGAGGGATGCTGGTGGGACCTGAGGCGGTGAGAGCGCAGCCAGGACTGGAACGCACCAGGGGGGTGCATGGGGTAAGTGCAGGGAAGGAGAGCGAGGCGGGAATGCATGGCACAACTCGTGGGTGAGGGTAGCTTGGAGTGGGAGACATGGTCCATTGCACTACACGGAAGTGCGTTCTCCCTCTCACGCACGACAGCAACACAGCACGGGAGCAATAGGCACGTGCTGAGATGAAAATCCACGAGAGAAGGCGTCACCTGGATGTCGTACCATGTGAGGAACGGCCCACCATGAGTGGACACGTGTCACTGATGACGTCATTACGGTTAGGACAAGGATTCGGAAAAGAGATGACGGTGACATGATGGCAGCGGCGGGATGTGAGCAGGGATAAGTTCGACGGCGACTCGGATTTAGAACACGAATTCTTGGGTGCGCGCGGTCATCCAGAATACAACCTCTGTGTGGGAATCGCGGCGATGATTGCCTTGCTGGCGTGAGGTTCTGACAAGAAAAATAATTGTTGACCGCTTGAATTCGGATCCGACAGTTCTGTATGGCGCCGTTCGGTTGAATTGTAGCATGTGCAAGTACACTCAAGTTACAATTCCAAAAAACTAGGGCACAAACTACAGAACTATTACTTCTGTTCTGCTCAAAAGCTCTGTTCGAAAGTTGTGATTCTAGTGGGATTCATCTTTCCATGGTTGGGGAAAACATACATGAAACTAGAATCTACAGATGGCCCTGGAAATCATTACACTGGAAAAAAGTTATGATGCTATGATGCATTGATAAATAAAATCAATAAAGCGACATTCCCTAACGAGAACTTGAACGCCTTCCCTTTCAACTTCATTACAAGCGACGACGTCTGTCCCTCCAAATCCCAAGGAAAATTCCACGTTTAACCAATCAGCAGCTTCCGCGTCGTTCCCTGATTGAACCTTCCAACCACGTCAGAAATCTCACCACTCGAACTCAATTTGGTTCGGACGCCTACAATTCCACTCCTTTGCACCTCGAGTGTTCACATCTCCTCCCTCCCACCTCATTCCCATTTCTATCTATTTGTTGTTGCACACTTCCCGCCACTGCCTTACCTCTTGCCTGACCTCTTGCCTGACCTCAATACGCCTTCTCGGCCAGAATCGTCTGTCGACCACTCCCCATGCTGCCTGTACGAGCCCTCTCCGCCGCATCCGTCTCCTCTCCCACCTCGCTTACAGCACGCCACGTGGCCAAACTCCGTGCTTCCACCTCCACTGCCACACCGTTGGATTCGCACGTACCTGTCCTCCAGTCGCATTCTCAGCCGATGTCCCTCAGCCGTCCTTGTTTCATCTCGCGCGGCTCGTTCGCACTGCGCAGAGAACGCGTGAAGCTACCATATCGCGGAATCGCAACGAGAGTAGTTTCGTTACTTGCACGGCCTGACGGTCAACCCCTCTCTTCCGCTACGGCGTCCGCGGCAAGGGGTCGTTCCGCCGTGTCTCGGAGCGCCAGCCTGCCTGGCATGGCCGGACCAGCCGAGCAGCGGCAATCCCCCGCTGTAACCGCAGCTGCAGCCGCCGCGACGGCGGCGACATCGCCAGTGCCGTCGCTGGAGGAGCTGCGTGCGACGGTGGAGGAGCGCGCGGGCGTGCCACTGGGTCAGCGCGAGCGGCTGTCGAAGGCAGCGCAGCGGCTGTTCGGCGCGGCGGAGAGCGACGTGCGCGTGACGCTGTACCGCGACAACTCCGCGTGGTGCCCGTACTGCGAGCGCGTGTGGCTGCAACTGGAGGAAAAGCAGATCCCCTACGCGTGAGCTCAGCCGTGGCCTGTTCGTCGTTTGCCGTGTGCCATGTCGTATGCTACAAATCTCCATGTGTCCCTATTGCCTATTCGTTGTCTCCCACACCAAGCTGTCCCCTAGCTGCTATTTCTCCACCAGCTTCAACCTCTCAGTCTAAATTGTCCACCATTGTCTACCCACCTCCCCCCCCCCCCACCTCTTTCCCTCTCTCCCTCAATCTCTATCTGTCTCCTTTTCTCTCTCCCTTTCTCCCCCTCCCCTTCCCTCTCCCTCTCTCGCGCGCATGCACTCTCGTCCTCTCTCCCGGGCCACCGGCGGTCAGGGTGGAGAAGATCAACATGCGGTGCTACGGCCCCAAGCCCGATTGGTTCATGCAGATGGTGCCCTCGGGCCTGCTGCCCGTGCTCAAGGTGATCTCGGACGCCACTCAACAAGTCTTTTCTCACAATAGCCAACACAAGTTCGTGTGCTCAAGGTGCCTCCATGGATGCGTGCCTTCCGCACGCGTGTTTGTGTGCGCCTTTGTGCCTGTGTGCGTGCTCCTGTTTGTTCCCACTACGCTGTGTGACCATTGCCTGCCCTGTGCTGCACCGCATGGGCTGCCCACCACATGCACGTGCCTGCTGCTGACTCACCACATACACCTGCCGCGTGCAAGTCAAGACGAGACATTGGAGGATCACCTTGCATTGCACCACCACACACCGTGGCGTGCCGTGCCTATGTTACCCATACCATGCAGATCGTTGTACCTGCCTGCATGCTTTGCTGTCAAGTCCCTCCACCTCGCAACATTCTCTCCCACCACCCACCCCCCACTCCTCTCTCCTTATCCCCATCCTCCCTCCTCCCTTTCCCCGCCCGTCCATTCCCCACGCTCCTCTTCCTCGTCCTCTTAATCTCACCAGCCCTCCCCTCTTCCCCTTCAACCCCTCCCCCCCACCTTCCTCCTGCTGCACCCCAGCTGGACGGCAGGGTGATAACAGAGTCCCTAGACATCATGTTTGCTATAGAGCGCGCCTTCCCCTCGCACAAGCCCCTGCTGCCGCCACCCTCCGACCGTGCGGCCACGCAGCGGGTGGAGCGGCTGCTGCGCCTGGAGAGGCAGCTGGCGGGCGCGTGGCTGCAGTGGTCGCGCATGGGGGACAGCGCGGGGGGGCTCATGGGGGGAATGTTCAGGCGCGGAGGCGGAGGGGGGATGGGCGCGGGGCAGCGCATGTTTGAGGAGGCGCTGGATGCCGTGGATGCAGCACTGCTGGAGGGCGGTGGCCCACTGTTCATGGGCGACCAGGTGATGAGGGGGAGGATGGGCGGGGGAATGGGGGGGGGAGAGGGTGGGTGGGGGGGTGGGCTTGGGGTTGGGTGGAGGGAAAGGGCAGAGGGATGGGCGCGGAGATGGGCAGAGGGGACGGGTGGAGGGGGTGGGCGAAGGGGGTGGGCGTAAGGGGTGGGCGGAGGGGATGAGCGGGAAAGAGGATGGGGGGGGGGGAGGATGGGCGGAGGGGATGGTCGAAAAAAGGGATGGGGGGGGGAGGATGGGCGAGGGGATGGTCGGGAAAGGGTATGGGGGGGGGGAGGATGGGCTAGGGGATGGTCGGAGGGGATGGGGAAGGGGGAAGGGGGGTGGATGAATGGAGGGTATGGGCAGGGGGTGGGAAGACGGGTGGGTGGTGGTATGGGGTGGGATGGGATTCGATGGGGTGGAATGTGCGGAGAATCTAGCAATGCACCACCCCTATGTTCCACACGAATTCACTCGCGAACTGCTTCCACTATTCGCTTCGTCTCTATCCTAACTGCACTGCCAGCCAGCACTGCACGCCCCTCTCATCCAACCAGCTCCACCCCTCCCGCTCCCCTTCAATGCCACACCATCCTTCCTCCCTGTCCCTCTCCCACTGCTCCTCTCGTCCCACACCATAGCACCCCAACCTCGCTCACAATCCCCCTCCTCCCCCACACACGCAACACCCCCTCATCCTCCCCCTGCAGTTCTCCATGGTGGACGCGGTGTATGCGCCATTCCTGGAGCGCACAGCAGCCAGCATCCCCTTCTGGAAGGGCCTCACAGTGCGTGGCAACACGCGCTGGCCCGTGCTCAACGCCTGGTTCACAGCCATGGACGCCCGCCCGCCGTATCTCGCCATGAAGTCCGATGACTTCACCATCACCCACACCCTTGAGCCGCAGATCGGCCCCGTTGTTCTCGCCGACGCAGGGGCTGCACACCGTGATTATATTGAGGGGCGGGACGGGACTGGTGCGTGGGATTTGCCGTTACAGCCGGAGGTGACTGCGTGGGGGGAGGACGATGGGACAGGCGGGGCGGGGCGGCAGGCACAGCAGGAGGCAGTGGAGTCGATTATTCTCAACCATGAGTTGTTGGTGTCTTTCTGCCTGCGCGCCTTGCGGGATCAGTCCTTTCCTGGTCAACGGGTCACGCTGGTTGGAGGACGGCCCCGGCTGCAGCCGCCTTCTGATGCTGAGCTGGAGGCAGCGAGGGAGCGGCTGGCGCCAGCTGTCAGCGAGGCCCTGCGCCACGTGGCGCATGCTCTGCTGGAAGGCACAGAGGCGGTAGGGGCAGCAGTGCCAGCAGGGCTGCTTGGGGCGTTGAGCGGAGAGGAGCAGGAGGAGGTGGCAGTGTGTGTGGCTTATCTGAGGGACAGGGTGGGAGTGCCAAGGGACCTCACTTACCCTGCTGCAAGGCAGCTGAGGGCGCACCTGCAGTGGATGGTACGGCTGCTGGGCTCCAAGGTGTAGGCTCTGAGCTTGCCTGCATGCCACCATGCAGTGCTCCGCTGAATGATTTGGAATGGAGGTGTCTCGTTTCGTGCATACCATGTCTACCCCACATCGGTATGCATGAAAATGCAGTGTGCTAAAATATAGGTACGGTAGGTAGATATATAAAAGAACTGTATCACAAACATCTTTACCTCATCTGCATGAGCAAGGGGCTCGATGAACGAGATAAGGGAGGTTTCCGAATCTGTGTAAAGAAATAGAAACAGCGGAATGGTATTGGATTAGCAAGCAAGGGATACATATACTAACCCTTAAGTGTTGTACTCACAATCTACCTCAGTATAACTAATCACAAACATAAACATAGTTTGACACACCCCCATAGTTTAAGTGAGGGAAAGCTAGACAAGGCAAGAACCACGAAGGGTGGACCAAGGAGAATCTCAATATCACCACACATTCCGAGCACAAGCGAGCGGCCAAATGGCCAGTTCACACGTAATGTTACAATGACAAAGCAGGACAATGATGACAATATATAGCACAGTACATCAAGCAAGACTAGAACAAGACTCTTAGAGAGAGGATCTTGGATAGGATAGGAATTCCTTAGAAGAGTTTGGTAGCGGAAGTCTTTGTTGTAGGAACTCTGAGGGTACATTCCGCTGTGGATTTATGTCACAATCGATATGATTATAGTGGATGTAACTGACAAAGTTGATTAAAACAGAGATTACACACATAGTAAACAATCTTAGCTAGCCATGTACGCTGAGGGTTACACTCCCTTATTTTAACTCCTTAACAGGCATTTCTACAATGACTCTGACTGCTGCAATTCTTTCTTGTTACCGAGTCGTTGCATGTACGGTAACCTGTACCGTATTCTCCCGGATAAAACACCCCCCCGTAATTGTACACCCCCGGGTAGCTAATACGGGGTGGGTGTTATATCCGACCCCATTAGTACTGTACCCCCCTTTTTGGGGTGATTCTCTATAACACCCCCCTTTTCTTATAGATTCCTATTATAGCTGTTATCGAGTCCGATTCCTTACGGGAGGATATCGCGAAAATCACTACCTAGAAGAAATTTCGCATGTACTTTCACTTAGAATCGGCCGAGATCAGGCCTCTCGTTATCAGGGTAAAATACCCTTTTTGCACTAACTGGCGGCCGCTTTTTTTCAGTTACCGTCAGCCCCCGGATAGAAGCGCCCCTGTGCTTATAATAAAACACTGTTTTTTAGGTGGGTGCGCTTATAATTGAGGAATTTTATAAGCGCCGGCGCCTATAAAATGGCAAAATTGAAATGGTTTTTTTTTACATGTATTTGAAGCCTTTTCAAACGGGGATTCAATCCACATCTAGAACGTTCGAGTTTGTGCATGAAACGCGCGTCAAATTGCCAACAAGGCGCGGAATCACGCCCGCCACGCCTTGCTCGCCTGGCCAGATTCATCGTACCGAATCTGGCCCATGCCAACGCACACGCAGTTTAGTGTGCGACTGCCCAATCAGGGCCGACTGTCGTGCTAGCCACGACGCAGTAAAACCACAAACGGGGAGAGATTCCTTGCCAAAAACGCTTGGACCTCACCACATCAGCTCCTCTGCGGGGAGATCTTGACTGTTTCTCCCCTGTGGAGTAAAGAAAACAGGAATGAAAATGACTAAGGAAAGATTGGGTACAAATACAACCCTAGAAACCCTGTACCCCATATGTGCTACCCCACTATAGCCTACAGCAACTATGTCATATAAATCTGACACACCCCCATAGGCAAAGTGGGGGAGAACAAGGGGTCACAAGACCAGTCAAGCAAAGCAAAGCAAGCTCAGGGTGGATCACAAAGTCACCACACAGTCCGAGCACAAGAGTAGGGCCAGAGGCCAGTTCACATGCAGGAGTACAGACATATATATAAAACTAGACAAACAAGAGCAGGCATATATATATGTCACAGTACAAGTGAAGTCAAGAGGAGAGCAAGTGAGGCAAGACAGGCACAAGACCCAGCTGGGTGCAAAAGCGCTGATGGTCACAAGGCGCGAGTGCCTTGGTGAACACATCAGCAGTGTTGGCCTCAGAGGCCACGTACGCAAGTCGCAACTGACCACGCTGCTGCAGCTCACGAGCAAGGAAGTAGCGGAGAGCAATGTGCTTCGTTCTGTGCTCCAAGCGCTGCTCTCGACACAAGGCCAGCATAGCCTTGTTGTCTACGTACAGCACTGGAGGAGAACGAGGCGGCTCTCCAAGGTCAGTCAGCAGGTAGGTGAGCCAGCGAAGCTCCTGTGCAGCCATGGCCCCGGCGTAGATCTCAGCTGGAGCCGAGAACCGAAGACGAGCGAGTAGACCGCCACGAGACAGAGCCGGAACCAAGGCTGAAGGTGTAACCCTGTGACGACCGCTGCGTAGCCTGGTCGTCAGCCCAAGAAGCGTCCGCGTGGCCGGTAAGGACCACTGGACTCCGCCCTCCAAGCACTAGCCCCATGCCCGACGTACTGCACAGGTAGCGCAATACCCTCTTCGCTGCAGCCATGTGCTCCGGTCTGTGTCTCCCAGGAGCAACATAGCGTGCAAGAATGCTCAGAGGGTATGCGAGGTCAGGTCGTGTGCAGGTCATCAGGTACATGAGGCAGCCAACAAGCTCTGCATACGGACCACTCGACTCTACGGACTCATCCGAAGGCAGAGCTGAGAGTGAGTGGCGAGTAGGCAGAGGAGTGGGCTGAGGCGAGGAGTACGTGAAGCGGAAGCGCTGAAGGACCTGCTGCACCATGTGTGACTGAGTCAAGGTAATGGTGCGGCGTGCTCTGTCCCGAGTGATCTGCAAGCCAAGGTAGCTGCGCAGTTCACCCAGGTCTGTGCACGTGTGTCTCTTCAGCAGCTCGGACTTCACGTAGGCGAGTCCAGCAGTGTCCGCTGTGGCAAAGACCAAGTCGTCGACGTACACGAGGATGTAGAAAGGCGGCAGGGAAGTGTCGGTGCGAAGAAACAGCGACGGGTCAGCAGTAGAAGGAGCAAACCCAAGAGCCGCAAGCGTAGTCCTCAGTGTGTCGTGCCACTCACGCGGTGCCTGGCGGAGACCGTAGACTGGCCGTCGGAGGCTCCACTGGGTGCCAGGAGGGAAAGTCCCAGTGAAGCCAGGTGGACGGCGAAGCCAGATCTCCTCGTGCAGGCTACCCTGCAAGAACGCAGTGCTGAAGTCGAGAGAGTGAAGCTCGTAGTCGCGCTGAGCGGCTATGTGCAGCAGAACCCGAAGAGTAGTCATCTTCGGGGTGGGAGAGAAGGTCTGAAAGTAGTCAACTCCCTGTCGCTGACTGAAGCCACGAGCAACGTACCGTGCCTTGAAGACAGGTGGAGAGCCCGGCGGCCGCTTCACCCTGAAGATCCACATGCCACTGACGATGTTCGCCCCAGGAGGGGGAACCGCGTCAACGTAGGTGCCTGTGGACTTCCAGGAAGCCATCTCTGCATCCATAGCTGCCTGCCACTGAGAGGAGTAGGGACCCTCTACGGCCTCCGCGTAAGAACGCGGAGTCGGGATGTCTAGTGCATCCGGGTCTCCCTCAGGGGCAAGCAGTACAGACGCGAGATGAGGTGAAGCAGCCGCTAGACACTGTAACTCCTCCTGCCTGTCCTCTAGGACGTCCGTGCCAAGAGCACACTCACCCCCGACGGACGGAGGACAGACAGACGCAGACTCAGCAACAAGACTAGCAGCGTAGTCGAGACGACAGCGAGCAGCAAAGTCGACGAGCTCAGCGACAAGGGCAGACGCAGCAGTGGACTCAAACGAGGGGTCAGTGACGACAGTAGCAAGGAGACGCGTGACAGTAGGACTGGCAGCACGAAGAGAGTCCGACTCAGGGTTGGCAAGCACAGGAAGAGAGGACTCAGGAGGAGAAGGCAAAGGGGCACGCAGAGGAGCAGTGGACGGACGCAAAGACATCCGGTGCGTGCCAGGGACAGGAGGAGGACGCTGACGCGAACTGCGACCACTAGCGCGAGCAGCACGAACAGGCGACGCGGGACGAGACGCAGGCTCACGACGCTCAGCAAGACCTCCAGTAGGACCAGTGTAAGGAGAGGGAGCAGGCAGTGGAGAGGATAGCTCCAGCAGGGACTGCGACTGGACAGGCGGTGGACCCTCTACTGGAGGAGAAAGACCAAGAACCTGCTGCAGGAGTGGAACGACGTACGGCCGAGGCCGCGCGGCAGCTCGAGACTCAGCAGGGACAGCACCACCACCCTCAGCGACAGCACGAGCGCCACCCACACCTCCAGCGGCAGGACCAACAGCAGTAGGCTCAGCACCAACGCCCTCAGCAGCTCCAGCTCCAGGAGGACCCGCAGGTCCAGCAGCTCCGGGACCGGCAGCACCTGCACCCTCGACAGTCGAAGAAGCTCCAGCTCCAGCTCCAGCAGCACCTCCAGACGCAGCAGCACGCCTCCAGCGGCGAGCGAACCACTCGCGCAGCTCCTGTGGAGAGAGGGGCTCCCGGCGAGACGCAGCAGCAGGAGAAACCCCAGGCTCAGCAGCTCCAGACGCAGCACCCCCAGGCTCAGCAGCTCCCAGCACAGCACCCCCAGGCTCAGCAGCTCCCGACCCAGCACCCCCAGACCCAGCACCTCCAGGCACAGCACCCCCCGGCTCAGCACCCCCAGGCTCCGCACTCTCCGCAGTAGCACCCTCAGGCCCAGCACCCCCAGCAGTAGCACCCCCAGGCTCAGCACCCCCGCGCACAGCACCCCCAGAGTCAGCACCCCCAGGCTCAGCACCCGCAGCAGCACCAGAGTCACCAGTAACCTCGACCGGGTCAACGGCGTCTACCTGGGACACACCTGAGGGGGCAGGAACCTGAGGGGGGAGGGGGTCTACCGGGGGGGGAACCGGCACAAGGAAGTCCGGGGGAGGGGGGAGGGAAGGAGTGCGGTAGGGGAAGAGACGGTAGAAGGGGACTGACTCGTCGAACGTGACGTCCTGGGAGGACAGAACACGACGAGAGG